TAGAACCAGTTACATTATGTTTACAGATTCTCCAAAGTCTCTCCAAAGCATTTCCATTATTCATCATCACCATTCCAGATGCAGATTTCCAAACATTTTTCCTATGGAAGAGTAGAATCAGAGATATGAGCAGGTACATTTCATAAAGCTGGTCAAGATAAGAGGAGGTAGGGGGCAGGTGGGTACAGCACTGTCCCTGAAGTCAGGAGGACCAGAGTTCAAATCCAGCCTCAGACCAAACACTTGACACTTACTAGCTGTGTGACCCTGGGCAAGTCACTGAACCCCAACTGACTAAAAAAAATAAAATAAAATAAATAAGATAGGAGGAGGTAGGTGGAGAATGGAAGGGAGAGCCATCCTTCCTGGGTCTCACCACCTGTTCTACAACAGTCCCACACATGGTCCTGGGGAATCTGACAGTTAGGAGGTTTCCTGGGAGACCTGATGAGAACAGGCTAATAGCAGGGTTTATACAGAAGGGAGAAGATAAAGGGCAGCATGGCAGCCAAAGAATGTGGAATCCTGGAATTCAGAGTTGCCTCCAGTACAGGTCAGGAGGTCAGGTCATAAGACAGTTCCTCACAGGGTCAGAAATCCCTGCCATGCTTGACTCAGACCCTCAGGGTATAGGATGTTCTAAAAGAATAGGCCAACTTTGGCCCTGATCTTAAGCAAGTAAGCAACAATGATAAAATTGTCAGGATTTCCCTGCAGTAGGTGTTATGCTCAGAGTATTTAGCTAAAGAGAGAATGTTCAAAGGTCTTTGATGCCAATAGATTTGTGTTTAAATGGGTTGCTGAAGAACGTGTGAGGTTGAGAGGGTTAGCTACAGAGGGTGCTAGGTTAAGAGGACCCACCTACAGAGGGCTGGGCTGCAGCAGAATTTGTGTTCTGGGGTTTTGCTGAGATGAGTGTTACCTGCCCATATCAGTGCATAGCCTCTGAGGTCTCTGTTACACTGGTGAGTTAGTAAAGCCTGAGAGGGGCACATCTTCACTTTGAATTCTAAACCGTGAGTTCTGTTGGTAGAGCAACTTTCTAAGGGTTATATTCAACAATCATGTGGTTATCTAGCATAGGCAGATGGGCTGGAAAGGCTTTGTATAACTTCAGAGGTCTGGCAAAAATTGGGCATAGACCAATATCTTATACCACTTACCAAAATGGATACATGACCTAGATATAAAGGGAGATATTACAAGAAATTTTGAAGAACATGGAACATATTACCCATCAGACTTATGGATAGTTGAACAATTTATGAACAAACAAGAGACAAAGGATTGTGAGATGTAAAATGGATAATTTTGATTACATTAAATTAAAAAGGGTTTGTACAAATAAAGCAAATGTAGCCAAGATCAGAAGGAAAGCAAAAAACTGGGGGGAAAATTTTATAGACAGTTTCTCAGATAAAGCTCTCATATCTTAAATATATAATGAACTTTGTCAAATCTCTGAGAATATGAGTCATTCCCCAATTAATAAACGGTCAAAGGATATGAATAGGCAGTTCTCTGATGAAGAAATCAAAACAACTTACAGTCATATGAAAAAATGCTCTAAATGATTATTGATTTGGGAAATGCAAATTAAAACAACCTTGAGATTTCATATTAAAACTATCAAGTTGGAAAATGATAGTAGGAGAAAGTTACAAATGTTGGAGGGGATGTTGGGACCTTACCTCATTGCTGGTGGATCTGTGAGCTGAACCAACCATTCTGGAGAGAGATTTGGACTAAATTGCCTATATCATTTGACCCAGCCATACCACTATTAGGTCTGTTCCTCAAGAGGATGTTCTAAACTATTTATAGCAGCTCTCTTTGTGGTGGCAAAGAACTGAAAATTGTGGGGATGCCCATCAATTGGGGAATGGCTAAACCAATTGTGGTATATGTTCATGATGGAATATTATTCTGCTATAAGAAATGATGAGCTCAATGATTTTAGAAAAGCATGGAGAGACCTCCGTGAAGTAATAAAGAGCAAACTGAGCAAAACCAAGAGAACATTGTATACAGTAACAGCAGTATTGTTTTAAAAGCAACTTTGGGCAACCAAGTCATTCTGACTATTATAAATACTCAACTTAATCTCAAAGATCCTATGAAGGAAGATACTGTTTAAATCTAGAAAGGAATATTGCTGCAGTGTAGGAAATGATGAGTTGGTTGATTTAGAAAAACATGGAAACACTTGGACTTCTGAAGGAAGATGCTACCTACCTTCAGAGAAACAGATGATAGGAGGAAGTAAGCATAGTACAGTCTTACATATGTGTGTATGAATGTATGTGTATATGTTTGTGGATATACATATATATATATATATACATATATATATAGATAGATAGATAGATAGATATAGATATATATATATATATGTATGTATGTATGTGTGTGTGTATCGATGCTTAATTGTAGCCTTTGGTGGGAGGGGATGAGGGGGAAAAAAGGAAGTAAGTGCAGAACACAGAACAAAAAAAAAAAACACGGAAGGAAAGAAAAGCTGGGCAGCTTTGAAAACAATGTGTAGTATTTATTATACTCCTTATTATATTCCTTGAAATGGAAATTTATTTTCATATTGAATCCTCCTTTATGGTCTGCTATGTACATGGCAATTTTTTTTCTTTTCTCATTTTGTATTTGTGTAAAATAAAAATTTTAGCAAAGAAATAACTTTAGAAGGATGGGAGGATGGTTTGCTTTTGAAGGGACTGATTTATTTTAATTGTGGGTGAAAACCTTTTCTATCACCTCCTCTTCCCTTTTAAAAGGGAGAGAAAGTGGCTACTTTCCTAAAAGACCACAAGGTTATATTGAGGATAGGCAGCCCTCTGGTGGCCAGAGAGTGAACTTGAGGCTGTAGAATGGATTTGAAGATGGCCCAATCCCAAATCAATGGAGGTGGTCAGAAGCCTAACATTCTGGGGAACACAAGTATCCAAAGTTGCACAACTAGTAAGTGTCATAGCCCAAACTACCTCTCAGGCACCCTAACTTCAAATGTAATCTCCTTTAACAAGAGGACACTCTTTTATTATCCACTAAGCTAAGCTAAAAGAGATGGGCCCAGGGGCAGGTAGGTGGTGCAGTGAACAAAGCACTGGTCCTGAAGTCAGGAAGACCTGACTTCAAATCCGGCCTCAGATCAAACACTTGACACTTACTAGCTGTGTGACCCTGGGCAAGTCACTTAACTCCAATTACCTAAAAAGAAAAAGAGGAGATGGGCCCAAATCCCTACCTTTCTGAACTCTCTGGGGACATCTTCTGGGAAGTTTAACCTATGGGTAGAGGCAAGAGGTCACTTAAAGACTCTGTATTAAAATCATTTCACTATGCAAATAAGAAAACTGGAAATCAGAGAAGGAAAGGTAAGAACCAGGGCAACACAGAGCCAGTAGCAGAGCTAAGATTGGAATGCAAGGCTTCTGACTTCCTGTTCAGGGCTTTTTTTTTTTTTGCTTTTTGGTGATGTAGTCAGGGTTAAGTGAGTTGCCCAGGGTCACACAGCCAGTAAGTGTCAAGTGTCTGAGGTCAGATTTGAACTTGGGTCCTCCTGACTCCACGGCTGGAGCCCTATACACTATGCCACCTAGCTGCCCCAAAATATACCATTCCTCCCTTCATAGTCTTTTTTTTCTTTTTTGTTGAGGCAATTGGGGTTAAGTGACTTGCCCAGAGTCACACAGCTAGTAAGTGTTCTATGTCTCAGGCCTTTTTTCACTGAGTCTCAAAGCCTTGAGCAGCAATGGTACATGGCCACATACTATACTCTCTCTTGTTGGTGCTGCTGTTGAATCATTGCAGTGGTGTTCAATTCTTCATAACCCCATACTGGGATTTAGTTGGTTCAGTTGATTTTGCAGATGAGGAAACTTAAGCAAATAGCATTAAGTAATTTGCCCAGGGTCACACAGATAGTAAATGTCTGAGGCCAGATTTGAACTCATGAAGATGAGTCTTCCTGATTCCAAGCCCAGGGCTCTATCCACTTGACCACTGAGCTACCCATGGCATCTCTACTGAATCTATTATTCACGTTAAGAAAAAGACACTGTAGAATCATAAAATCTCACAGGTCATCTAGTCCAACCACTACTTGGAGCAGTAATCCCTTCTATAGCACCCATGACAAGAGGTCATTCAGCCTCTGCTAAAAAATCCTCCTCCCCAAAAGGGTGCAAGGGGAATCATCACCTCATGAAGCAATCCATTCCACTGATAGAAAGAACTAAATATTAGAAAATGTCTTTTTTTACATGAACCTAAAATCCTACTTTCCTATAAGTTCTTTGCAATGGTCCTAGTAACTTTCTGTTTCTTACATGTATTTTTTTTTGTATTTTTGGGGTTTTTTAAAATTTTTTAAATTTTCTATTTTTCTTCTTTTTTTTTTTGCAATTTTTAAGAAGTAGTAAGAGTAGTAATAAGACTATAACTGCTGCCTTGACCACAAACAACCCAAAGAAAGCACATTTATCCCAGAGTAAGATAAAACAGTTTAATAAGATATAAGAAATGCCGTGTAAACCAGCCTCTTTACCTCTCTCTTTCTTTGTCCACTCATCATCTCCTGAAATAATCCAAGTGTGCACACAGATCAGGACCATGGAACATGAAGTCACCAGAGTTTCACCCCCACTATATTATAGCCTGCACAGGGGAAAACTGAAACTCACATGGAGGGACTCGACCAAGGTCGCACAATGAGCCAGTGGTAGAGCAGAATATCAGAAGCCAGGTGTCCTGCCTTCTAGCCCAGGGAACTTTGCTCTGTACCCTGCAACTTCTAGAGCACTCAGAAGGGCAGAGAAGGAGAGATAGCTCAGGGAAGGAGGTGTTTTAAAGACAGCAGTATGAGTCCGGTGTGATGGGGAGAAATAAGGAATAGTTCCATTGGTTTCCCAGCAGACGTGGAAGCTGGAATTATGGCTGAAGGTGATGATGTGATGAAGAAAGACAAGAGGCATTGGGCCACAAGATCACTGGATGTGCTGATTGATCCAATCCACAAAAGCTGCGACACGAGTGAAGACTCCAGGTCTATGGGGAGCAGCACAAATCTCTCCCCAACTCACTATTCCAGCCTGGAACCAGAAGCCCTTAACCTTACACACCAAGGCTCCCCCAGAGTCACCCTGGAAGACAAGAGAGAGGCTGTTAGGATGGTCCAAGGGACAGAGAATGCACAAGAGAACAGGACACCTAAATTCAATCTAGAGTTAGGGGAAGGGCCTCACAGAGGAGCAAACACAGAAAGCCTCTCACCTGACAGGGGCTCTTTCCAGCTTCACCAGCACAGATCATGTTATCAAGAATAACCCTTTCATCTTCAGGAATGAAGTTATTTTCATGGTATTCCTGGTCACAGGTTACGGCATCCATCACAGGGACCCTCACCTTCTGCAGGGTGAAGGGAGGGGGCAGGGGCACTAAAGAGAGAAGCGATCACGAAGAATTACTGCGAGCTTAGATCAGAGAGCAGGAGAATTCTGGGCACAGTGAGACTCTGGGTCTATAAACAAAGGTGAGGGTACAGAATAGTTATGGAGGCCAACATCTGTGCTCTGGGAATAACTGATACTTAGACACCAGGGTCAGCAAAGAAGCATAGTCAGAAGTCGACTGTCAGGACAAAGAAGTCATTTAGAGCTGAGAGTTATTTCAGAGATCACCTAGTTCAAACCCTTCATGTGACAGAGAGAGAAACTGAGGCCCAAAGAGGGAAATGGCACATAGTACATGGACACACAGGTAGAAAGCAGCCAAGTTTGGAACCCTCTAATTCCATATCCAGTGCTCTTTTCACTATAGCCTTTAGCAATGACCTTAGACTGAGCCCCCAGCAGGCTGAGCTCCCAGACACAGGGGGTTCTGGGACACAGCATCACTGCTCTGTATAGCAAAGAAACAGGACTTGTCAAAATAATTTTCCTTAATAAAGAAATCCTAGAAATGTCATCTCTACAACCCTTTCTGCTGTCTTCACCACAGTCCTTGCAATGCCTAGTCTTGGCCTTGATCCTGGCCCTCTACTAACCCTGGGACATCCCAGAGCCCCACACCTCCCACCCACTCCCAGCCTCTCACAGCTCACCTTCAAATCTAATGTCTCCCCAACCAGAGACCCAGCATTCCATGTCTGGAGTGAAGGTCTGGGAGGCTTCAGGGAGCATGATAATTTGGACAGTCTTATTCAACTGCACAGGGGACTGCAGTTTTAGCAGGGCAAGGTCAGAGCCTGCCGTGAAACCAGTATACTTAGGGTGAATAATGATCTCTTCCAGGGGCACCAGGTTGTCCTCTTCATATAGATTCTGTTGCCTCAATTGGACCATATATTGTGAAGTTTCCTTTCCAGATCTGGAAAAAAGAGGGAGAATAATATTCCTTAGAGGGGCTACATGGCCCAGTCCAAGTATCCTGAGACCCAGTTGGACCCATCTGTGCCCTCTAGCTGTCAACCATGGAACTGGGCATTTGGACCTTCCTGGAACTCCCATAGCCCCCCACCACCATAATACAGGGAAGTTCCCTAGCTCTCCCTCTGCTAACTCTCCTTCCCTTTCCCCTGGATTTCCCATCTTTTCATAGTAACAGAACCATACATCTGTTAGGCCCTCTGCAAATGAGAAAGGGATTTTTTTGTCCAATAGCCAAGTGAGGAACTCATGATAGGGATTGGTATCCCCATTTTAGAAAACTGAGGCCCAGAGAAGGGAAGAGCCTTGTCCAAGGTCATACACTGTGTTAATATGTGGCAAAGTCTGAACTACAATCCAGATCCTCTTTCTCTGAGACCTGAGGCTCTCTCTGTCACACCCCCGATTCATGCCCCCTTGCACCTCTGAGAGGGAGGAAGGTGACTCACCCAGAAAAGCAGTGGGCAGCAGTCAGGATCCAACTGGGGTCGATGAGAGAGCCCCCACAGACATGCATCCAGAAACCATCAACACTTTTCCTCAGACTGATCTGCCATGGCCATTCTCCCTCCTGAGCATCATCGCCCCCAACAATCCTAGTCTCCTGCTTGTCTGGATGGAGAAATGGGTGATTGTGCAAGAAGATCCATCAGTGTTGTGAATCCTCGCATCTAGCTCTCATGCCAGGATCTCATACATTGCCAGTGATCATTCCTGGCCTTGAGATTCTCTGCCAAGAGCTGGTTGGCAGCTGACGTGCCATCACCCATCTCCCGGTAAACAAAGTAACAGTAGCTGACATTCTACAGTGTATTAATCGTTTAAATTGCCCTTCCCATGAACTCTGTCCATTGATGATCCCATGTGATCCTTATAACAACTCTGTGGGGATAAATAGTACAGGTATTATCATTTTACAGATGAGGAAACTGAGGCTCCAAATGGGTAAGTATTAGAAACAGAAATAAGATTGCAGTTAGGGCTTTCCTTACCCAAAGTCTGGCACTCTCCACTACAACTTTCTGCCAATCCTTCAAGAAGTCTCTAGGGAGCACCCACTATGTGCCAGTACACTGTGCCATGTGCTCAGAACGCAAGGGCAAAGAATGAAACTACCCCAACTTGGAAGGAGCTCACATTCACACTGGGAGAAGCCAGAGTCTGGTCACCTGGAAACTACCTCTGCCCTAATCAAACCACCCTATCCCTAGGTAAGAGCTGAACGTTCTCTCCTGGATCCCAGGAAATACTCCCCATGCGGCCACCAATAGGCTGAGCACTGGAAACAGGAATTCCAGGGTGTAGACAATACTTGGATGGGGCTATAACTCACCTTGAATCACAGGGACTGAGTTTCCCAGGAGGGGAAGGGTCAGAAGCAGCAGGAAAATCATCTGGACAGAGAGAAAAGGGAGAGGGCTCAGGTCAACAGAGAAGGGCTCCAGTTGCTAGAGTCTGGGGTGGAGCAAAGTCCTCCAGCCCAACATCTCCATCCAGCTGAGCCTGGGCTGGGTAGCCAAGGTCTGAGAATGGAGCAGGATCCTTACCTTGATCTGCTTCTCCAGTTCTGAGCTTCCCCCTTGGTCAGCACCCTACTTATACACCCATAACAGGAAGTTTTAAAAAAAAGAGAGAGAAGAGCGAGATTGCCCACGGGGGCATTTAGCCCTCCTCTGGGGATTGGAGGGAGAGGTAAGGTGGTGGAGCAAGTGGATTTGGGACACACACAGGTCAACAGCCAGTCAGATCCTGATGTTCTCATCTTCTCCTATTCCGTCCCCACCCCCTTTCTGCTCCTCAGGCCCTCTTCCCTGAAGAAAGATCATATAATTTCAGAATTCAGAGTGGGAAGGGACCTGAGAGTTCATTTAGTTCAGCCTCATTTTACAAGGAGGAACTTGAGGCCCCTAGAGAGAAGGTGGCTCACCTAAGGTCACAGCTGTAATAAGCCAGCATCTGAACTCAGGATCTCTGATTCTATGCGCTCTCTCCACTATGCCTAGCTGCCTTCGCATCCAAACTCTTCATTTTACAGAATAGGAAACTGAGCCCAAGAGATACTAATTGACCTGCCCACGGTGACCAAATCTGAAATAGCCTGTGAAATGCCTCCAGCCCTATTTTGGCCCATCATGATTCTCATGCACTCCTTCATGAACCCTTAAGAAGAAAATGACATCTGCCTAGCCAAACCTTTTGGCATACTTGTCCAGCAGGGTGTGCTAGCTGAAGCTCATTCCCAAATACCCAGTACACAGTAATTCCTTAATTAATCCTTTTTCATTCATTCAGCTGCACATTCATGTATTCATTCGTTCATTCCAATAACGCTACTCCTAACCCAGTCGTGCCAGCCCAGCCCATGTGTCTCTTACCCATGTCGCTTCCTGCCTTCACCACCATGATCCACCCAAGCTGCTCAGGTCCTCCCTGGCTTTCTCTTGACATTTCAAAAGTATCAGCTGAGAATGCAGACTATCCATCAGTTATAATAACAAAAACAGCATTTCTATAAAGCCTCCAAGTTTACAAAACACTTTACTAATACCTCACTTCATCTTCGCAACAAGCCTAGGAGGTAGGTGTTATTATAATTCACATTTATAGATGAGAACACATAGAGGTTAAGAGACTTAACCAGGGTCACACAGTTATTAAATGTCTGACAACAGATTCAAATTCGCATCTTTCTGACCGCAACTAAACCTCATTCTGGTCACATGACAACCCTTTTTTTCTCAATTATATCATAGAGAGACAGTTGGAAGAGACCTGTGAAACATCTGGTCTAACGCCATTGTTTCACAAATAAGGAAACTATGACCAAAATTACCCAACCACTAAGAATAACTGGATTTCATTCATGACATCCTATATACTACTCACCTTGTTATTTCTTTGTGTTTAATTGTCTGATCATATACAAGATGGACTTCTCTATTCTCTTTTAGCTGGTGCTCAATTTAAATTCTTCAGAGACTACCATGGACCATGACTCCCAACCAAACAGTAGTAACTAGAAGAGTATTAGCATTAAAAGAAGAGGACTTTATTTCAGAGAGATGCTTGAGGTTATTAAAAGAACTTTACCACATGCCAAAGGCAATTCAGCCCATTCTTGTCCTCCTGGTCAATTCTGGGCCTAATTAACTATCCTTGGTCAACAACTGTCCAACATACAAGTGATGGAGGAAGAAATCTATTGGCTGTCCATTCAACTTCATGTCATTATCTGGACAATGGGCCAATTCTTCATGCAACTGACCTTGCTTGTGTGAATAAGAAGGCCAAACTCTGGAATGATTGTGTCTCTCATTTAAAAGGCTTTGCAAGGTTCAAGGTCTTTCTTGAATCAGTATAATGCCATTCAGAAACTAGTATGTCCCAAGGACTTCACCATCAAGATGGGATCTCTCCTCAGTGTGCCTTCTAGGTTGGATCTCCTTCACAGCAGTGTGCAACACACTGCGCTAGCTCACATTCTTCTCTTGGATGCTTCCCTGGATATTAATGATCAGAAGAGAGGGTCAGCTCAGGTTATCTCCATTGTGACATCTTCCAAGGAATCTTGAAACTCCATCCACATTATCACGTAAGCACTCAACTAATGAGATATGTCCCTTCAATTTTGGACAAGTAGGTTTAGAAGTGGATGTCTACCCAGCTGGAGGTATCTAAGAGTTGGATCAAAATGAGAAGTGAAATTCTGAGATGAAGTTGGCTGGAGAGGTAGAGATTTGAGAATGATGACTGAGTAATAATGAGCAGCTAGGTGGCACCATAATGCACAGACCCTGGGCCTGGAGTCAGGAAGACTCATCTTCCTGCATTCTAATCTGGCCTCAGGCTCAGTTCAAATCTGAACTCAGACACTTACCAGATGTGAGACCCTGGGCAAGTCACTGAAGCCTGTTTGCCTCAGTTCCTCATCTGTAAAATGAGTTGGAGAAGGAAATGGCAAACCACTCCACTATCTTTGCCAAGGAAACCTCAAATGGGGTCACAAAGAGTCAGACACCAGTGAAAAATGACTGAACAACAACAACAACAACAACAACAGATGAGCTCACCAACAGAGAGTGCGTAGGGAAGAGAACAGATCCTAGAATAGCCGGCAATCTGATCAGAGGTCTGGAATCTGACCTGTTTCACTAAGGCCAGTGCTTCGCACCACACACATATGGTGGCACATACCAAGTGCTTAATAAATGTATGGTGTTTTCACTGATGGATGTATGGTTTGCATTACTCGGAGGCAGGTTCAATCTAATCTCCTTGACTCATCCACCAGGAAATTTGGACTTATCCAGACATCTTGATATCTGTCCTGTTAATACCTCCCTGCTCCTCATGTGGAACTGCCCCCTGTAGCCTGGACCTCCAGAAACCATGCCCTCCCTCCCTGGGCAGTTTGAGCAACTTAGCACTGAAATTCTGCCTGGGACAGCTGAGCTCCCATGTATACATCCTGTTTGTACATAGTTGTTTTCATATTTTCTTCTCATTACACTATCAGCTTCTTGAGAATACAGACTACTTTTGGCCTTTCTTTGTAACCCTGGGCTTAGCAGAGTGGATAGTTACTACATTCTTGTTGATTTAAGTGAGTACAGACTCCCCTAACTCACTCCACCTAGCTAGCCTCGGACCATGCTTCGTATCCCATCCATTTATTCACCAGGAAACCTGGTCCTACCAAGGCATCATGCTATCTGCCTTGCAAGCACATGGATATCCTTCCACACATTCTGCCCTGCCTGTTTCCTATCTCTTATAGTCAGAATAGTAATGATAATACGGTGGCTTTTGGAAAGGACATAATAACCAATTGCCCTATCGCTTAGAATGTTTGTGACTTTCCAGAGCAAAACCCCTTTCTCTGCTTCCCACTTTCCTGTATGGATTGCTCCTCTACCCCTTTAGAACATAAACTACTTGAATACAAGGATTCTCTCATTTCTGAATTGGGTAAGTGCAGAAATGAGAGCCTAGCATATGATAGGTGCTTAATAGATGCTTTCTTATTTATTCATTGATTCACTTGCTCATTTGATCATTCATTCACTCATTCATAATGGGAAATAGAATCAAGGTTAGGAGAAGACATGTCTCTGGGAAATTTTGGAGAAGGTGGTCAACTTATTCTCTGTGAACAGAGCTTCCTCTGCCCCTATGTCTCATCTCCTCTGCCTTTGAGCTACCTCTTCCTTGGAACTCTGTCCTACTGCCCCAGGGCTCCCTAGTCAAATTCTCTGAGCTCTAGGGGAAGGGGTGAAGGCATTGGGCAATCCATTGGTGTGAGGAGCCATGAACCCATCAGTCACATCCAATTACTTGGGCCTAAGTGGGTACTTAGATGCCCAGTGAGAAATCTCTACCCTTGCATCAACCACCAAAGGATTTCAGGCAGCCTGAGAAATATGTAGAAGATGTAAAAGAAAGTAAAGATATAACAAGTGTTTTATCTACACCCCACTCTACCTGCCTTCCACTAGTCACCACTGTGCCCATCATGTAACTTGGCAAGTGGGCTGCCACTTCCTACTTTTGCCTCTTTCTTACGTGACCCATGGCTACCAACCACCGTCAGTCTGTCTTACCTGAAAAGTGAGCCACTAAAAATCTATCTGTGGCCAGAAGAAAGTTAGCCTATTTTAATTTTGGCCCCTACATACTGCCAGGTTGTACAAGTCTGAACTAGGCCATCAGAACAGATGATTTCAGCCGTCATTCCACCTCTCTTGTTTTGTCCACACTGATCTTAGACAAAGAAGTGATCATAATCTGCAGCAAAATCCTTCCACTGGCTTTCACTGAGAAACCCAGGGGTCTCCACTCACTTCTTCTCCCATAAGGTCAGGTTGAGTCTGTGCCTGGGACAGCTTTGGACACTGAATTACTCTCTATATTCTCTGGGGTTGGATAGCCCTGGAAGATATGAGCTCAGTCTGTATGTACTAGGATGAATTCAATTCAGTTTAGACTGAATAGAATTCATTTTTTACTTTATTCTGGAGTCCCTGACAACTACTGGATCCCATGTGAGGGCTTTTTTGTTTCTTTTTAGTAAGGGTAGCTCAAGAATGTTCTAACCTCCAATGTAAAACCCCTGGCTACTTAGTTATTACCATACTAACAAAAGCTTGGGCAAATCACAAACCAGAATCAGTGAAAACATTTAATTGGAACAGAAGTGGAAAGGAAACAAACAATAAAAAAAATTCTAGGGTCCAGAAAGTTGAAAAAAAACATGAAAGTCAAATGTTGTGGAATTTAAGGACTCAGAAGTATTCTAATTCTTGTCCCAAATTATACTCCTAGCCAGATCCACTGGTTCTCCTTCACTACTTTCTTTTTCCATATAGAGACTGTTTGGAGCTCAGATCTGAGCCATGGAGACATTTCTTTGGGCTCTGTCATCAAAGCTCCCTGCTGCTTGGGGAAATGAACACTAGAACCTAGGGTCTAACAATGTCTCTGGCTAGCTATGCAGGCAAGGTGACTCTCTTGTCTCTGCCTGCCTCCATCATACCTTCATACCTCAAGACTCATTTACCTTCTCAAGACACAAAATCAGCTCCCTGGGTCTGCTCTCACACCTCCTCCCTTTTCCTTTCCCTGAACTTCAGAAGTCCTCCCTCAAATAGCCTTCCATACCTGATGTCATCATGGACTCAAGAACTGTTGTCTTTTTCTTTCCCCGATTCTTTTTTTATAAATACTTTTATTATCATATATTATTTCAAATCATTTTCATTTCCCTCCACTTCTCTGAGAGTAATCTTTTAAAACAAAAACAAAAAAGAAGAAAAACAGTTCATTAAAACTAGTGAAATTGACAAAAAAAAAAAGACATATGCCTATCTCTATTTGTTACCTTGCCAAAATCTGTCCTCAGACAACAGAAAATCTCAAGGCTCTTCTCTACTCTTAAAAGAAAAAACTTAAAAGAAAACTTTGGGAAGTAGTTAACATTTCTGAACAACTCTTCATATTCTTTGTCTTCCCCCACTGTACTGTCTATGTTGTCTGTGGTTCTTTACCATCTTCCTTTTAATTTGAGGACCCTCAGAGTCCCCCATATTTTTATCTCACGCTGCTTACCTCCATATAGATCCTAAAAAGAAACATTAAAAACCCATAGCTTGAGCCATTTCCCAACCTGTAGCAGTGCTCAGTCACAGTCCTCTTGCTGAGTATGGAGCATGACCAAGGCCAAGATTGTGCCCGTTACCCCCTTCCCCTTCTCTGGGGTTTTCTGTCCTATCTTGGCCTTAGTCTCTGTACCTAGATCAGAAACTGACCAGTGAATGAGTGACTACTACGGACACCCACGTGTTGCCCTGGATTTTTGTTGTTCCCTCGACTGCCCTCTCTGTTACTGATGATGCCTCTTTAACAAAGTTTGAAATTCCCTTTATGCAAGTGAAATCTTGCCCTAGGGTCTCACTGCTCCTCTGACACTAGTGACAACACTGAGTGAGGATTGATAATTCCCAGATAATTTATAGCCCTGAGCTAAAGTCTTGTGGCTTGTCCTATAACAGGAGGATAGAGAGTTGGGTATAGAGGTCAAATAGACTGGAAGGTCAGACAGAAGATGATGGGTCAAACAGACCTGGTGAGCTGGAGGGCAGTTAGCAGCAGACTCCAGGGGAACAAGAATCCCCAGGGATGCCAGGGGTAAAGGTAATAGCTGAGCATCCAGAAATTCATTGGAATAGCTGAGATTGGCCAGAAGCCCACAAGTGACTTGATGTTAGCAAGCTGAGAGCTAGGCAAAAAGACAGGGAAACAAGCTGAAAGACAGATGGGACGAAAGGGAAGATGGCTAAAAGAGAAGCAGGTAGGCACTCACATAGATATTGCTTCCCTGCCCCTCTGGGTCTGGCTTGGATTTGAATAGGGGGCACAAACTTGCTACAAGGGAACAAAATCTGAACTTTAGGTTCTGTCATGCTTTTGGGGATGTATTGGTATGGTGGTACCCTCTTGGCCCTGCTCTCCTCACACCACACAGAAGCCTCCCCACTCATTTCATGAGTATATGTGAGCTTGTAAATCAACCTTGTATACAGGGGGAGCTGTGTAAGACAGAAAATGGATTGGAACAACAGCCAGAGAGGCCTTGTGCCTGGGTCACATCCTTAGAGATAGTCTAGGAGGAAAGGCCTTGTCTTTTGTGATTAGTTTCCTTATCATTATTATTCCTGACATGCGGGCCATCTCCAGTTGTCCTGATCTAGATCTTGCCATTGCACCAGCATGGCTTCAGAGGAGAAAGTGAAGTTGTGACTTTGCAGAGCCCTTCCTCACCTAAGTCCAATTCACTTGCACGTCATGACATCACCTCCCTGATGTCACGGTCCTTTTCAAGGAGAAAGGACAAACAACAGTTCCTGATATAATTATGCTTGTGGAGCAATACTTGGGTGCCCCATCACTCATGGGCTCTCAGAAAGCTACCCCCCGAGATGGAGGCACTTTGAGGATTGGCATCAACTCAAAACTGTGGTTCAGGAACTTCCATATTTGAATTTACTTTTACAAGGACGAAGGACACAGTAGTTCATAGAAGAAGACATCTATTCGAGTAGCCTGGAAAATTACAGATTAAAAATTAAAGTCAAGAAAAGATTCCTCCATGAATACATGGGGTGTCCTCTCCCTCACATTATCATGCCCCTGGTTGAGGAAAATATGCATGTAGAGAACATATGTGATTAGGGAATGTATTTAAAGGGCACACATGTAAGGGAACACAGGAAGCTAGGCTACATGTGTGAAGAAGCTCCCACAGCAGGCCCACCTATGACTAGGTACATTAATGGAAGGCACACATGTAAGGAGAGATATATGCCCAGGGTGAATGTGTGGCCAGGATAAGTTCTGCGTCTAGTACTGTGGAGCTGCTCATGTCCCCTGGGGGTGTTGTTAGGCTGCCCTTTGCTGGACATCACGTTTTCTGGACATACCAGCTTTTCTCGTGTTTGCTGAACTTCTCTTTTCTATCATCTTCCAGGCTTCAGATACTCAGCCTCTTCAGGACCCTTTGCTGCTCTCTGCTTCCATCTCTGGGGGTGCAGCGGTTATTCAGCTTCTTCCTGGCAAGGGAGGGCTAACACTCTTTTAGTACCAGTGGCCACCTTCTCTAGCCAACTGATTCCCCGAGTTAAGTTAAATATATTCTTTTTACTGCCCTTCTCCTGACCCACTCAAAGTCTCCGGTCTTAGCAATTCTCTCACTTTAGAAAATGTCTTTCGAGTCTTGTCAAATCCTTGATTATCAGTTTTCTTCCTGAAGCCCATTTCAGGGACTCTATCTAGCAAGAACAAATGGGTGTTTTGTGGTGTCTTAGGCAATGAGGTTTCTCCCAGTACCCATGATGCTCCTTGATTGATATGAAGGTTTAACAAAGTAAAAGCCAAGAGGTCTAAGGGAAGCTCATTATCTATAAGAAACAGTGCATAGAGTGCCACGCATGGAATCAGTAAGACCTGAGTCCAAATCTGGCCTCAGATACTTACTAGCTGCATGACCCTGGGCAAGTCACTTAACCCTGTTTGCCTCAGTTTCCTCATCTGTCAAATGAGCTGGGGAAGAAAATGGCAAACTACTCCAGTATCTATGCTAAGAAAACCCCAAACTGGGCCACAAAGAGTCAGCTATGACTGAAAGTGACTGAATAGTGACAACAGCAACATGCAAAGTGCCCTCAGCTTGGACAGGACCCAGGTTACAAAAAAACTCTGATTACTAGGTAACTGGAACCCTGCCTTCATCTATCTGATACTTTGCAATTTTCCTTGGATTGGGAGAAAGGACATATTGGATTAACTGAATGGTTATATACTAATATAGATGGGTCCTTCAGGAAACCCTACTTTGAGGCCTTGTTGTGGCCTAGAAATGATCTTGGGTACTTGAAGGCTATGCCAGAAGTACACAAGCATGGGAAGATTATCCCACTCTGGGAAGGCTTTGAATATGGTCCTGGCTGAGTGTCCTCATGGAGAACTAGCTTAGCTATATACAGAGAGGCTGATCACCAGCGGTTGCTCACTTGGTGATGAATTCTTTGTTCTTACTCACAAAATAAAAATATAATATGAAATGGCCCTCCATCCTGTGGTGGGTCCCTTTTGCTTCTGCAGTGATAGTGGTAGAAAGGTGGAAGAAGACGGTTGTGTAGCATGCTAAGAATCACATAGCCTCCCTGTAAAATTTAACTTTGCTAGTGGTATTTGAAATGTGAGATCCTTGTCTGATCACCAATGTGCTTGCTGACTACTAGAGAAATTGAATCACATCCAGTTAGTGTGGTCAATTGGAAAGAGAGGTGGATTTGCATCCAGAAGACTTGGACCACAATCCTGAATCTCTCATGTGTTACCTACACGACCTTGGGCAAATCTCTTGGCCTATCACTTCAGCTATAAAATAAAGGCATTGCATTAGGTGCACTGTCAGGTACCTCTCAACCTTTAGTGTATGATTCCATGGCATTCTTGGTACAAAGGAAAGCACAAAGAAGAAGGAAGTTTCACTTAAATGGAAGATTGGCTCACAG